ACATTCGATGAGCTGAAGTCTTATCTTAGCTCACCACCTCTGCTGACTAAAGCCAAAGATGGAGAAATCCTCTATTTATATCTGGGAATTTCAGATGAAGCCATTAGTTCAGTTCTGGTAAGAGAAGAAGCCAAGCAGCAGAAACCAATATATTATATCAGCAGTGTGCTGCATGGGGCCGAACTGAGGTATCCTATAGCAGAGAAAGCAGCCCTAGCAGTTGTCACTTCGGCCAGGAAGTTGAGGCCATATTTCCAGTCGCACCCGATCATTATTCTTACAGACCAACCCCTTCGACAAATTCTGCAAAAGCCTGAGTGTTCTGGAAGATTAATTAAATGGGCAGTAGAACTGGGGGAATTTGAGATAACATTTCAGCAGAGATCTGCAATCCGAGCTCAGGCACTGGCAGATTTTATTATAGAGTGCACTCCAGGTAATTCCATTCCTACTCCAGAGCCTAATGACTGGACCTTATATGTTGATGGGGCATCTAGTAGCAAAGGTTCAGGAGCTGGTGCCCTCTTGATCAGCCCAGATGGATACTAAAGTGAACATGCTTTGAAATTTAACTTCGATGCAACAAACAACATGACTGAATATGAAGCCCTGCTACTTGGTCTGCAGCTGGCATTGGAGTTAAAGCTCAGTGCGATCCAAGTATACAATGACTCCCAGTTGGTGGTGAACCAAATTAACTCAATCTGCGAAGTTGTTGATCCTGTGATGGTAAAATATGTAGCTCTGGTGGCCGAGCTGAAGTGCAAATTCCAGAAATTCTGTCTGAACAAAATCCCCCGAACTGAGAATGAGCAGGCAGATTCACTCTCTAAATTCGCCTCTGATATTCCTTCACATTCCAGATCAGTTTTTGTGGAGGTCTTAGACGAACCAAGCTTCATGAAGCCACGGGTGATGGAAATCAGCACCGACCCAGGCACATCGAGCTGGACTGACCCAATCCTCTCCTTCTTATGAGACGGGAAAGTACCTGAGGACAGGCAGGAGGCAATGAAGTTGAGGAGGAAAGCATCCCGGTATACACTTGTTGATGGGGTCCTCTATAAGCGATCTTTCTCTCTACCTCTTCTACGGTGCTTGAATCCCTATGAAGCAGAATATGCACTCCGGGAGGTGCATGAAGGTGTCTGCGGAAGTCACGTAGGTGCTCGGACTTTGGCTCATAAAGTCCTTAGACATGGTTATTATTGGCCCAACATGTACAAGGATGCCACTTACTTTGTTCAAAGATGCTTGAAATGTCAGTTCTTTGCGCACCTGACCCATCAGCCTGCAGAAGAGCTCACTACTCTAGTGGCACCATGGCCATTTGCTCAGTGGGGATTGGATCTTTTGGGCCCATTCGTGAAGGGGGTTGGTGGTGTAACCCACCTGATCGTCGGTGTAGATTATTTCACGAAGTGGGTTGAAGCTCGGCCGTTGTCTAGTATTACTTCTAAGAAGGTTGAAGACTTTGTTTTCAGCTCAATCATCTACAGATATGGGATCCCGAATCAGATTGTGGCTGATAATGGAACTCAATTTAACTGCACCTCTTTTCGAGATTTCTGTTCCAGCTACGAGATTAAACTATAGTTCACCTCGGTTTACCATCCAGAGTCCAACGGCATGGTCGAATCTGTTAACAAGTGCATCTTAGAAGGTATAAAGCCGAGGCTGGAACAACACAAGGCCAAGTGGGCAGATGAGCTCAACAACGTCCTCTGGGCATACAGAACTACGAGTCGAACTGCTACAGGTATTACTCTACACCTGGCCTATTTGATTAATTTTACATCATTTTACTTTTTCTGCTACGGTTTTACCTTAGAGCAAATATGCATAATGTGTAAAGCACATTCTAAAATTATAATCCATTGAAATAGGTGAAACACCTTATCACCTGGCTTTTAGTACCGAAGCAGTCATTCCTATCGAGATTGGAGTTCCAAGCTTCAGAGTCACCCATTTCGATGAAGGACGGAATGGACAACTGCTTCGGGAGAACCTTGATTTGCTTGATGACGTTAGAGAAGAAGCACGACTTCGAACTCTAGTCTACAAGCAGAAAATAGCAAACTTCTACAATAAACGAGTTCGACCCCGAACATTCAAAGTAGGAGACCTTGTTTTCAAGAAAGTAGGTCTGACGGGGTTCGAAACTCGATTCGGCAAATTGGCACCAAACTGGGAAGGCCCCTACACTGTCGCCGAAGTGCTGCACCCAGGTGCTTATATCCTACGGGACACTGAAGGCAAACGGGTTCCCAGAGTCTAGAATATCAATAACTTGAAGAAGTTTTACCCTTAAGTGAACTTTGTTTTAATAGTTCTTACTTTCACTCCTACTGCTCAACTTAGAGTGTATTTTAACTCAATTCATTAATAAGTTTCACTTCACGTCCGAAGTAATTCAGTTCTGTGTACTCTTCTATACGTTGGAAGTGAGTTTCATTTATTCTGATTCATTCAGCCACTTCATTTTTAGGGTTATAATCCTATTAATCAACTACATTTTTTAAAGTGCTTTACTTTGTCTTTGAGGTATACCTTATGGATATCCGAAGTCAACTACTATACAGTTTATCCGGGGTCAGAACCTTGTGTTAATTCAAATTAACTTATTCTATCCAAAAAGAGTTCCCTAAAGGAAAACATCAATCACAAATCTAAAATCGAACACCAGATAATCATAGATTCAAAAATTTTATACATTAATCTCAAAAACAAAACTGTTATTTACACCAATAACACAAAAAATCCTAAAGGTTAAACCCCTATTTTGGTCCTTGAACTATGTACAGACCCCCGATTTGGTCCCTGAACTAAAGAAATCCCTAATTTAGTCCTTGAACTATTGTACGGACCCCTAAGTTGGTCCCTAAACTATTGTACGGACTCCCAAGTTAGTCCCTAAAATATTGTACGGATGCCCAATTTGGTCCCTACTGTTTACCAATTTAACCCCAACTTGGTCTTTCTGTTAAATAATAGCTCAGGGATCAAATTGGGGCGAAATTGTAAACAGTAAGGACCAAATTGGGGGTCCGTACAATAGTTCAAGGACCAACTTAGGCCAAATTATAAACAGTGGGGACCAAATTGGGGGTCCGTACAATAGTTTAAGGACCAAATTAGGGATTTATTTAGTTCAAGGACCAAATCGGGGGTCCGTACAATAGTTCAGGGACCAAAATGGGGATTTAACCAATCCTAAACTACTCTGCTGGAGGAGGAGGCTGCTCCTCAGCGGGAAGAGGTGGGGATCTGGGCTCATCTCCAGGAGCCAGGAGTGGTACTTCTACTTCAGGAGGAGGCAACGCCTGCACTTCGTCAGACGAGACTGGATGCACCTCAGGAGGCTGCACTTCAGTTGGAGCTGCCTGATTCTCAACTCCGGCGCCTTGCGCTTCTCCTTCTTCTTTCTCTTCTTCTTCTCCCTCCACGGCCACCAACTCAACGTCAAAGGCTGGAGGAAAAATGGTGTGCCCCTCTGCATCACGCTCCCACCTCAGCGTGATCCGAGGTCGGAAGTCAGCACAGAGGCTCTCCCCATCTTCCTCCACCCCTTCTTCTTGTTCCCCAAAGGTGACTGTTGTCATGTCCACCTCTGGGTACTGGGCCTTCACCTTCTTTCTACAGTCGATGAAGGCCACAATGGCGATTGGCAGCCGGTAGAGCTTGAGGATGTCCTCGAAGGTGCTGGAGTTGAGGAAGTTGCCAATGTGTTCCTCCATCCCGTTGTGCACCAGCAGGTTCACGTTCTTCTTCAGCTCCGCTGCTCCTTTCCTCATATTGTCGATATACTTGTCTTGAGCCTCGAGCTTCTCCTCACAGATCTTTCTCTTGCGTTCTTCGAGGCCAAGCTTCGTGCTCAGGACATCGTTCTCGTTCTGGAGCTCGAACACTGAAGGGAGAACTTCGTCCAGCCTCCTCTGCATCTCCCTCTTCTCCTTCTCCCATTCCCCCTTCTCCTTCTGCAGCTCCTCCTTCTCCTTCTGCAACTGCTCGCACTGCCTCAACAAGTTGGCACGATCTCTCACACTCTCCGCATACTCCTGTGCAAGAGTGTTTGTCCAGCTTGCACTCTGCAAGGCAAGCAGATGTCAGACCTCGAACGCAGAAGTCAAAAAAGAAAAAAAAAATTTTTACACCTCCTTTCCATACCTCCAAGGCGTGCCTCACAACGGTGTGCCCCACATGGCTCACCACCTCGTCCTTTGCCCGCCTCCTATCCACCTTAGGCAGAGAGGAGTTGAGGAAGTGCTTCGCCTCAGTCGAGTTTGTTGCCTCAAACAAACTCTTCTGGTACGAGTGAAGAGGGGTACGCTCCATGCCCCCACCAAGGCTTCACACCTCGACCTCTACCCTCTCCCCGACTTTAGGATCAGTTTTTGGAGGAGAAGGCCGAGGTGCGAACTCCACCACCTCATCCCCCCTGGCTTCTGGTTGTGACACCTTCCTCTTCTTCCTTTGGAGCGGTGCCACTTCCTCGCTCATATCCTCACTCCCCCCCCATCATAGTTTCTGGTCTTGGCTGTATCTCCAGCACTCGAGCAGAAGTGCTGGGTAGGCGATCTCTCTCTACCGCCCCTTGATTCGCCGCAGTTGAAGTCCTTGACTTCTTCCTTGGCTTCTTCGGGATGTGCAGCCCCCCAGCAGCATTTGTAAACTCTTCCATCTCAGCTGCAAAACAAGCACAAAGGTCAACATACACCAACTAAAATCTAACCAACATAGCACAGTATAAACATACACAAACCTTCGCTCAATGAGCTTGGCCCATAGAGCTCAGCAGCCTTTATTGCCAGCGGACTGGTGAGGTACAGGATGTCCACCACGTCTCCTTCCCCCCTCACCAGCTTCTCTACCTCCTCCACCTCATCTTCATTTAACTTATAGTTGTTCTGCTTGGCTTTCTTAGCCTTCCAAGCAGACAACTCCTCCACCTCGGCATTTCCCCTACCCCACTCGGTGTCATCCACAAAGAAGAATTTTTCTTTCCATCCTTTGATGGATGACGGTCCAGCAGAGAATAAACTCTTCTTCTCTTTGCTGGACGACCGAGGGCCGAAGTAGTACCACCCCTTCTCACCTCTACCCCCGCCCTTATTACAAAAAAATGTTTGAACATATTTACTGTAGGGACTCCCACCCCTCGAACTCTGCAGTATATAAGAAAGCCTATTATTACCCTTATGGTATTTGGGGTTAATTGGGTTATTCCTATACTATAATCTAATAATAGCCCCACCAGTAATTCTGGAATGGGGAACCTAAGTCCTGCTATCAAATAATGGACGTATAGGGGCATCCAGTGGTCTCGGGGAGCTGAGTATGCCCTCTCATTCACCCCGGCA